TAACTGTGTGTAGACACGTAGTGTCCATGAACACATGCATAGACAGATACCTGTGTGTAGACACACACCCGCCCCCCAGGACTGACCAATCACACCCGGCAGCAGGGTCACCTCAGCAGCAGTGTGCACACCTGCACCCAGATCTTGGCTTCTAAATACCCCTCGCCACAATGGAACCAGAGCTCCTCAGAGAAATGGCTGACCCCTGAGCTGGGGCAAAGAGAAATACAAGAGGGAGCCTGGAGCATTTTGTGCTAGAAAGGCAGGCAGTACTCAAAAAGGATGGGAACCGGTCAAACAGGCACACAGAAGTGGGCTTTAAGCAGCCCCTAGGGGCTCAGGTCAAACCGGAATCAACCTGAGCGTCAGGATAAGTAATGACAGTAACAGATGCTAATCCACAGAATAAAAATAGGAAAGTGTAATCTAAACTGGTGGAAAGAAAGGGGGAAGGGAGGGGACTAGATATTTACATTGTTTCAAAGTATCTTCTGGGAACATTTGTGATCTACAAAGGAGAACAGGTACTTCAGAGCTGAGATGCCCAGCAAACACCGCCTTCATCAAGTGGATGAAGTCGACATCCCCGGCAATGGGGATGCCACCTGCCAGACAGGATATAAGGAGAACATAGTATCATGGCTGCTCTAACACCCACAGGCACAAAACCCCAAAGGGAGGGCCATTCTGCAACAAAAGGCATGTCAAGGTCATGAACGTCCTCCTAGACAGGAAGAGGCTAAACAGCACACACGGCCCTCAAATTGACCTTTTGCTGCAAAGAACAGTATCGAGGCTGGGGTGGCTTATCAGCCGGGGTGACTGCTGCTGTATTCGGGGCTTGGGCAACTGCACCTCGGTTTGGAAAAGAACGCCCTTGTAAGAAACACACGGGGTGGAAGGCACCAAGTCCACAACTTACTCTCAAATGGATCAAGAAAAAGTTATGTGTACTGCACTTACAGCTTGTCCCTAAGTCTGAGTGAGGTATTTCCAACATTTCAAAAAAGAAATCTGCCCGAAAGAGAAGAAAAACGGCTTCCTCGCTTCCACTGGAATCAGCCTTCCTCTCTGCTCTCGGCCGACCTGGTGTCACACTGCTCGGCCTCAGGAACCAAGCAGCTTCCTGCTTGTACTCGGGAACTCTCTGGACACCTGCAGGTTGCTTCTTCAGTCAACAGGCATCTCATAAACACTCACTGTGGGGCCCTGCTCACCTGGAAACCGCATGAGCGCAGGGACTGGGCCCGCCGGCCCCAGCCCCCCTCGCCAAGCACAGAGCCAGCTGGCCTGGCAGCTCAAGGGCTCGGCAGTTATCCCTCAAGCGAAGGTACCCAGCGATGAAGCAGCGAAGGGACCAAGGGATGCCAGGTTCTGTAGGACCCAGAGATGAAGACTCAGATGGGACCCAGGGGGGTTCATGCCCACCTGGAGGGGACAGACAACCACACACAGATGCTGGCATGCCTCACTCGAAATCTATCCAGCTCTTGGGCTGGAGAGCAAGCAGCAAGAGTCTGACTCCCAAGTGGTGAGCGTACTGACACAAAGTGCGGAAGTGTGGGGTTAGGGACACACACCACATACACCAGGGGCCGGGGCCAGGCTTGACGCCCCATGGGATGGGAGAGTGAAATCAGGAAGCTTCCCAGAGGAGGGGGCCTCTAGACGACCTCCTATAGGAAGAAGAGGAGGGGAGGTCTTCCAGCAAGAGCACAGAACATGATGGACACGGACAGAAACATGGGCGCATTGTGGGGGTTGGCAGAACCAGGCAAGAGGCAGGAAGGGGTTGCAGTTGTGCGGGAGGTGCAGGCAGGAAAAAACCCTGGTAGGCCCCAGGTCCCAAGCCCGCTCTGTGCCAGGTCCCTGCAGCCCAGCCGTCCAGGGTGTTCTTCGGGAAGGAGGCCTGCCAGAGCGGTGCAGGCAAGAGGCTGGGTGGGTGGTGCCCTAAAGGTTCAAACTGCAGACCAAGCACGAGGGCTGTGTGCTGGCATCAGCAACCACAGGGCCGCACGAGCGAGGCTGCTCCAGACGCACGCGATCTCTTCCTCAGCTCAGCAGATTCTGGCCATACCTAATTAGTTTAATTAAACCCTAGGTGGCTTCCAGGCATTTTGAATAAAAAAATAAAGCACACCCTGCCAGCTCCAGGAGGGCACAACAAAAGGGCAACAGGGATCCGCAGTGAGTCTCTTTCCCAGGACTCGGCTCTGTACACAGCAGGTGCTCCATCAGTGCATGTTGCTATGAAGCTCCTTTAGAGCCCATAACCAAGCTGAGGTCAATCCAGAGAGGAGGGGACTCCAAATGCTATCTTCTGAAAACAGCATGGCATTCTGGGAAGAGGGGACATCATGGAGGCCTTTGAGCAGGACGGGTCCCGGGCATGCCGTGACAGCGGGGAGATGGAAAGGCCCCACCACTGATTTGTAGGCACAGTATCCAGATCCCACAGGAAACAGGCATGCTCTCCCCACCCACCCATCCCATGGAAACAGACACACGCTGTGAAACCACCCGAGGAGCAGGCTAGAAACATCCATCCAAAAGTCAGCAAGACAGCTGAGGGACGTCTTTTGAAACCATCGTTTGTTTAAACAGTCCTGGAAGGGAGACCTAAGTTGGCAGTCTTAGTTTTTCCATTTACTATCTGTGTGGCCTGGGGCAAGTCACTTGACCTCTCTGAGCTTTGGTTGCCTCACCTACGAAATAGGGATGGCACAGCCCTCCAGGATCGTGCCTAGCCCAGGGCAGGACCAGTAAGAAAGGACAGCTTGAGATTCCTTTTGTGATTGTTAAGTTTCCCGGATGACAAAGAGCACCCACACAGAAGCCACCGAGTTCCTCTCCCAGGCCCTGCACAGCCTTCGTGCTAAACGCAATTGTGATACTACAGATGCAGCCATGCTGGCTGGCCCCCAACCCACTAATGCAGGCTCACTGACACCTGCAGCCATCCGTGTGCTGAAACGGCCACACAAAGACTGGTGTGACCAGCCCCACCCTCCATGAGATGACAGGTGACCAGCCCTCAGCTACAAGGACGATATCTGACAATGTCCAGATGACCATCCTAAAACTGTTAACGTTTATTCAGCTCTGCACTAAAGACGTTCTCTGCCCTCATCACATCCTCACAACATGGCTAAGAGGTTGCTACCATTACTGCCCTATTACACAGATGGGGAAACTGAGGCCCCAAAAGTTGTCACCTTTCTGGGTGGTGACAGTGCCAGGTTTCAATCAGAGCATGTGGCCACAAAGACACACAGACACTCGCCCACCTGGTTCTCCTACCAACCAGCCGCCTTACCCCTTCACGCGGGAGGCTCACGGGGGCTGTGTTGGTGTCAGTACTGCGGCCCCACCAACGGCTCCAGAGACCCCAGGAAGTCTCTGAACTTCCAGCCGAAATCACCTGCCACAGCCAGCGGCCCCTCCTCTCCCATCCTGCTCAAGTGGCATCTGGGGAGGGGCAGCTCCAGGGCACAGCGGCCTGCCAAGCCCCGTCTCTGCTGTGTGGACCTACCCAGGCTACGCCCTGTGCCCCGGCCACCCTGCCAATCAGGTGGAAACCCACCAGGAGCCAGCAAGCCCAGCCCACCCCTGCAGCTGGCAGCCGAAGGCGGCCACTGGGACTCGAGGCCCAAGGCCCAGCTCTGCCCTCCGCAACCCTTCTCCCTCAGTTTCTCCAGGGGGGAGGGAGGTGAGGACAGAGAAGGAAACTGGATCTGGGAGAGCCCTCTGCAGGCCCCGGGGACCTTGGGCTACTTAGCACTGAGAGTGCCCAAGGATGCTGCTGGTTTCCGGGGAGTCCTGAGGACCAGACTACAGGCGGGGCACCCCCAGGGCCCCCTCCCTGGGCTGCCCGCCTACAAGATCCTGGGTTATTATTACCGAGTGGGAGGGCGGCCTCCACCGCCTCAGGGCTCTTCTTTGTCAGCGGCCACCCCCCTCATCTTCCCTGAAGGGGGTCAAACCCCATCTTCTTGGAAACTTGTCACAGCCAAAGGGCAGAGGCCATGCAGCCCAGCCTGGAAAAGCAGTGACTCACTCCAGCCCTGTTTTCCGATGTCACACTTGTGAATGGCCGTTGTCCACGCGGACCAGCCCAGGGCCCTGGAGGAAGGGGTACAGGCCTGCCAGGGAGGTTGCTCCTAGACAGTGCTGGCCAGACGTGTGCTGGGGTGGGGTTTCCACGACCCCGGGAACAGCAGGACAAAAGCCTTGCTTCTGCATAAGTCTCAGCCAAGTTCCCCTTAAAGACAGAAGAAAGGCAGCTCCTGCTGAGGGAGCAGACATTTTCCTACCAGCCTGCGGCCACACGCGCCTCCACCGCGACAAAGACCACCCTTGAGGGTGCTGGGGAAGTGACTGGGGGGGGCTCCCTTCACACCAAGTCGCGTGGCCCTGGGGGGCCGGTGGCGCTTGGGCCACCCCCGGCCAAGAAAAGGAGGCGGCCGGCCAGGGCGCGGGCTCCAGCTCCCAGCCCCGCCGGGCGCCTCCAGCCCCGCCGGGCGCCTCCAGCCGCGCCCCGAGCGTCGGCTCGTCCTCCACGGGGTCCAGAGCCCGGCGCGAAGCCGGACCGCACGACGCCTCACGAGGCCTCCAGGCGCGGCGGGCTCCCGCGGCTCGGGAAGGACACTCGCGGGGCCCCAGGGCTCGAGCCTGCGCGCAAGGCGGCAGCGATGGGCGCGCCGCCGGGGTCCGTGTCCCCTCAGCCCGGCTGCTCCGGGGCAGCGTCCCAAGTCGGCGGAGGCGCGCCCCCGGCTGGAGGGACTTTGGTCAACTTCGCGCCTGCGGGGGCTGCACCTCGGAAGCGCGGGCTCGGAGGCCCGGGGCGCACCCCTCTCTCTGCTCCCCGTCCCGCTGCCAGCGCCGCTCCCCGAGACCAGCCGCTCCGGACCGTGTTCCGGGGTCGCGTCCTCGCGGCGCCGCGCGGAGCGAACGCCCGGGGGGGGGGGGGCCGGGTCCCGCCGGCGCGCTCAGACCCTCACCTGGGACATCTGCGGCCGAAAGTTGATGTCCTTGAGGTCGATGGAGCCGGGGGACAGGTTGTGCAGCAGCTGGCACAGCAGGACGCCGTCGCGCAGCGCCTGCGCCAGGTCGAAGACCACGGCCGAGGGCCACACGACCCGGTGGTTGGGCGGCAGGACCTTGCAGTCGATGAGCCAGCGGCCGCACTGCCGCCACTGCTCCATGGCGCCCGCTCGGCCGGCCGCTCAGCGCGGGGCTCGGGCCGAAGTGCCGCGGCCGCGGGGCATCCCGCCCG